CTCTTCATCCCTTTCTTTCTGGGGAAAGCAATATTGCTTCCCTGGGGGCCTCCCCATACCTTTCCCCCACTGACCCATCCAGCAGTGGGGATTCTGTGCGGGGATCCCCCCCATGACCTCCCCTCAACCTGCTCAGACCACCCCCAACTCTGCCTTAAGACAGTGACTTTAATCCAACCTCATGCTTCAGGGCTTCAGCCAGGCACCTGCAAGGGTCAGGAAGGATTCTCCCCCTCCCCCCCGACCCAGTTGGCCCATACCCAGTATAAAGAGGAGGCGAGTCGAGATCACGCAGCAGGCTTCGTTGCGCTCGTTTGACCTTTGATCCTGTTTCCTTCCCCCATAAACAGGATTCCCAGCCCCCTGCCCCCACGACGTGCTGTTCCAGATGAGGCGAGGGGAAGGGCCCTGTGTCCCGCATCTCCAGGACTCCACGGAAAGGGTGGTCCTGAGGGGAACCCGTACAGGTGAGGAATGCGGGAAATCAGTTTGGGCTTTAGAAGGAAGAGTTCCATCCTGAATCGATCCTAAAAAGCCCATAGGTTTTGAAGGTGGCTAAACAAAATCCCAGACACGGCTTAGCGTTGGGTCAGCTGAATTGCTTTCTTTTGATTGTCCAGTATTTGCATCGACACCAGGCAGCCTTTCACACCAGAGCAGGGTGTATTGGTCACCTGCAACCCACCACGGGGAAATCCTTAGGTTAGCACAGAGCCATAAAGGTCAAGACCAGGGGTTCTCAAACTTTTTTTTTTTTGCTGGAACCCCCTTTGAAAATATTTCAGGCTGTGACAACCCCCCCAAAAAATGACTATCGACCCCACCCATACCAGGCCACCCTTACTTCTGTGCTGCTGCTGGCGGCGGCGCTGCCTTCAGAGCTGGGCACCTGGCCAGCCGCCACTGCTGCCTTCAGAGCTGGTTGGCTGGAGAGCGGAGAAGCAAGGTTGGCAATACCGCAACCCCCCTTACAATAGGCTTGTGATCCCCTTTTGGGTCAGGACCCCCAGTTTGAGAAATGCTGGTCAAGAAATTGTGCGACCTGGCCACGCCAGCGCAATCCGCCAGCCAAGCTCCTGTGGACTCCGTTTCAGGCTCTCTTCCTCTGGCTGCTTCACAATCCCAAGTGAGGGCAATTGAGCCTCCCCCAAAAGCCGACTTTTCTCACCTCTCAGTCCGTTGTCCTCAGGCGAGGCCAGGCGAAGTTAGACTCATAGACTCATAGACTTTAAGGTCAGAAGGGACCAATATGATCATCTAGTCTGACCTCCCGCATGATGCAGGCCACAAAAGCTGACCCACCCACTCCTGAAATAATTCTCTCCCTTGACTCAGCTGTTGAAGTCCCCAAATCATGATTTGAAGACTTCAAGTCGCAGAGAATCCTCCAGCCAGCGACCCCTGCCCCATGGTTTGATGGGATAACGTGATTTTAGTCAATTAGGCAATAATGTGCCATCGCTGGTAAAATGAGGGTCCGGCTGGAGAATCTTGCCTGTATGCTCAGGGTTCTACTGATCGCCATATTTGGGGTCGGGAAGGAATTTTCCTCCAGGGTAGATTGGCAGAGGCCCTGGAGGTTTTTCGCCTTCCTCCGCAGCATAGGGCAGGGGTCGCAAGCTGGAGGATTCTCTGCGACTTGAAGTCTTTAAATCACGATCTGGAGACTTCAACAGCTGAGTTAAGGGAAAGTGGGTGGGTCAGCTTTTGTGGCCTGCATCATGCGGGAGGTCAGACTAGATGACCATATTGGTCCCTTCTGACCTTAAAGTCTATGAGTCTATGAGTCTATGCTGTGGAGGAAGGCGAAAAACCTCCAGGGCCTTTGCCAATCTACCCTGGAGGAAAATTCCTTCCCGACCCCAAATATGGCGATCAGCAGAACCCCGAGCATGCGGGCAAGATTCTCCAGCCAGACCCGCATTGACCATTGATACTAATTTCCTGCGATGGCACGTTATTGACCTATTGACTAGAATCATGTTATCCCATCAAACCATCCCCTCCATAAACTTATCGAGCTTAATCTTAAAGCCAGAGAGATCTTTCGCCCCCACCGTTTCCCTACCAAGTTCACCTACCAAGAGCAGCGCTCACCCTTGCACGCCCACTGGGTACCAATGCAAAGTAGAAATGGAGGCGGGCATAGGTGTCACGCAAATATCACAGAACATTCCCACTTCATCCCATTGGTCCCTTGAACAAGTCAATTGGCCCTTTTCGCAACACATCAAAAGATGGGCGATACCATTGTCCTCATTTTGCACAGACAGTGGAAGTGACATGCACAAGGTCACCCAGTGCAGACCTGGAGAGAGAGCCCAGCTGGCCTGTGTCCTGTGCTTTATCCACTAGGCCACACTGCTGTGAAGAGTACCCCACTGTGATATTTGATGCTGTTGGGTCTGGCACAGGGTGAGCGGCCCCTTTAAGGGGAAATGGACCGAGCCTGATTTACATCCCAGATAAAAGGCCCAGGTGGGATTGACCCCGCCTCCTTTTAAAGGGGCCTTGCGGCAGGGCACATGAGTTCTACTCTGCTCCAGACCAAAATGAAAGTGGTATGATTCTCCACTGAAGCATCTCAAACCTCACCACCTTCCGCTCTGAGTGCAAAGCCTCCCTTCTCAAACTGCATAGCAACATGTTTGAGTCGGTGGGTATCCAGACCAAACCAGGCCACACTACACACTTCTCCTCCTGGGGAGAGAACAAAGACCACGTGACAGATGTTAGCCACCTTGCTGACTGCATGACTGGAAGAGACTCCAATATTCTGGGATAGGCACGGTATGCAGACCTGAATAGAATAGAACGATAGTTACAAAATGAGCGACAATCGGAACGTCTATCTGGTTGGAAATTGTGACATTTCAACGTTTGTTTTAGTCCTGAATCGGGGTGAAAAGTCGAAATGTCGCTTATTTTTTTTTTCTGTGGAACAAAAAGTTTCAATTAGGAACTGGTGAGATGTTTTGTTTCAGGTTTGTTTGTTTTGCTTGATGTGGAACATTTTGCTATCCCTGAATGGAAATGCTTCATTGGGGAGCAGTGAGGTGACCCCAAAATGCTTTGTTTTCAGTCGGCTTTGAAGGGTTTTTCTCTGTGCACACACACAAACCCACAAAACAATGTTTCCATTGCTAAAAATTGTAATTTACAGATAGGCAAAGTAAGAAAAATGCTGCTCATCAGAGTTTGATTTAAAGATATTTACTTTGCTCATTTTGACCGGACGTTAACCATTTGTGTTTTAATGATTATCAAGCTTTAACTTTTTGAATATCAACATCTACTGTCATAAAATAATTATTGTCTGACCCTCCCCCATTGTCTGATCCAATTTCCCACAACTGTGAAAATTTAAATTGATAAAAATAAAAAAAAGTACTTAAACCCCATAATTTTACGCAACTGTGAAAATTTAAATTGATAAAAATCAGAAAAAATGCTAAAAAATAAACATTGATATAATCCATTAAAATTATACGTATTAAAAATTGAATTCTGCCAAGCCTAGTTTTGAGTTAGTTCAGTATTAAACTTTCATCATGGTGCACCATGGGAATTGTAGTTCATGTGCCTCATGCCCCTCTTCTTGCCTATGGGCCAGGGTGCCTGGCTGGACTGCATCTCCCATGATGCACCACATGCCTCACTGAGAGGGAAGAGTATGTTGCATCATGGGAGATGTAGTCCAGCCAGGGAGCCCAGCCCGTATGAGAGAATGGGGACCTGGAACACAACTCCCATGAGGCAATGCACCACAATATGGAAATAATAATAATACCTAGCTGTTTTTCATCAGTAGATCTCCAAGCGCTTCACAGTCCTTAATGTTTTTATCCTGTGAGGGAGGGAAGAGCTGTTAGCCCTGTTGTACAGATGCATTTAACATGATATGCTGTTTAAAGCTGAACTGATTTGCAACTAACTGTTTCAGGCCAGTTGAGCAATCCAAAATATTTCAATTTGGATCAAACTGACCTGGAACAAAATCTTCTGTTTCCGTTTCCCAATGGAAAATTGAAAAGAGTCGGCAAAATTAAAATTTCCACCTGGAAAATTCTGAATGTGATTTGGGGTGGGCTGACGGATCTGCAGGATCCGTGCTACGCCCCGGGTTTTGAACAGCCCCTGGGAAGAACCCCATCTGTGTGGTGGACCCTCCAGGGGTCCCACTCTTCCTTCACGTAGGCCACACGGCGTCAATGCCTCTGAGACTGAGCTTTTGAGCTCCAGCATTCCTGCTTCACACTGAGCTTTGCCCAACGAGTCCAGCTGAGCTTGACTCCTGGTCAGAGACTTGTACACCCTTCAGGGACCCATCCACCGCAGCGAGTATTTGCAGTGACGCCTGGCAGCGTTTGCAAAGCAGAGCAGGGTTTATTAGTCAGCTGGAATCCAGCATCGGGAAGTCGTAGGATAGAGAACTAAAGGTTAAGCCGTAGTCCTTTCTGGCTAAGCCAGTGGTCCTCCCAGCCAACCTGCTGTGGATTCCCTTTCTCGATCTCTCTCCATCTCCCTGGTAGTCCCAGAGCTGCTGGCTCTCTCCCAAAGCCACCCTTATTCCAGCCACCTGATGCCTTTCATAGACCATAAGGCCAGAAGGGATCATCATGATCATCTAGTCTGCCCTCCTGCACGTTGCAGGCCACAGAACCTCACCCACCCACTCCTGTAACAGACCCCTAACCTCTCTGAGTTATGGAAGTCCTCAAATCATGACGACTTCAAGTTACAGAGACTCCACCATTAACACTAGTTTAAACCTGCAAGTGACTCATGGCCCATGCTGCAGAGAAAGACAAAAACATCCCATGGTCTCTGCTGATCTGACCCAGGGAAAAATTCCTTCCCTCCCCCAAATATGGTGATCAGTTGGACCCTGAGCATGTGGGGAACACCCACCAGCCAGACACTTGGGAAAAAATTTGCTGTAGTAACTCAGAGCCCTCCCCATGCAGTGTCCCATCACCGGCTGGTGGAGATATTTGCTGCGAGCAGTCACAGATTGGCTATATGCCATTGTAGGCAGTGTCACCATATCATCCCCTCCATAAACTTATCAAGCTCAGTCTGGAAGCCAGTTAGGATTTTTGGCCCCCACTCCTCCAGAACTTCACTCCGATGGCTAGAAAGCTTCATCTAATTTCTAGCCTAAACTTGTTGATGGCCGGTTTATATCCATTTGTTCTTGTGTCCGCATTGGTGCTTAACTTAAGTAACTCCTCTCCCTCCCTGGTGTTTATCCCTCTGATGTACAGTAGAACTCTGTTTATCCAACCCTCCCTAACTGACTTGGCGCATTTACTGAACAACCAGGACTGCAGGGCCAGAAATAGGTGATCTCTCTTATGACCACTAGATGGTGCTGCAGCATCATATTTTCTCTTTCTCCGGTTTATCCAGTGTTTTGATGATCTGATCTGGCCCTGACCCCAATTAGACCAGATAAACGGGGTTCTCCTGTACTGCTAAAGAGCGATCATATCTCCCCTCAGCCTTCTTTCACTGAGGTAAACAAGCCAAGCTCTCTGAGTCTCCTCTCCGTATCCAGCTCCTGCAGACCCACGTGCCGCCTGCCGGAGATTCCCGAGGAGAAGCATCAGTTGCTCTGCCCCTGGGGTTCCCACGGTCTTTGCAGAGCCTTCATTGATATGGGTTAATTTCAGCCTTTCTCCGGCTCCGCCCCAAGAGCGGATCTTTAACCCGGGGGCACCCAGGGGTGGCCATGCAAAGCACCGAGGCATCGGAACTGTTGGACTGTTACAGAAAATTCCCCCTTCCTCACAGGAGGAAAGCGCATTGCCTGTCGAAATATCGTCCCCCTGAGAAATTCCCAGCCGGCTGCAATGAGCAGCCCCTGGCGTCTCCCTCGGCCCGGGGAGTGACTCACCCCTCTCTTGTCTCTACAGGTGGCGGGAGTGAGCCTGAGGTGGGAGATCTCTGGCAAGAGGCAGCACAGCCACACAGGATGTCCACGAGAGGCTCTGCCGGGAACGATCCCCGGGGCCCGGACCCAGAACTAGCCTGGGGGGCCGAGGCCGGGGGGCAGCAGGGGGACTCTGAAGTGGAGTGTCTGGGCCCAGCCTGGAGGGATGAGGCTGAGGCCGGGGGCCAGGAGGGAAACTCCCCGGTGGAGCGGCTCGGCCAGGCCTGGGGGAGCGAGACAGAGGACCAGCCGGGCCAGGCCCCTCCCTACGCTGGCGCCTCGGCCCCCCGCCCGTCGCCAGGGAAGCCCTACAAGTGCACGGAGTGCGGCAAGGGCTTCAGCCAGAGCTCCCACCTGATGCGCCACCTGGGCACCCACACGGGGGAGAAGCCCTACAAGTGCGGGGCCTGCGCCAAGAGCTTCACCCAGAACTCCAACCTGCTGCAGCACCAGCGCATGCACACGGGTGAGAAGCCCTACCACTGCCCGCAGTGCGGCAAGCGCTTCTCCTGGAGCTCCAACCTCATCCAGCACCAGCGCCTCCACACCGGCCAGAAGCCCTTCCAGTGCGCCCAGTGCGGCAAGCGCTTCTGCGAGAGCTCCCGCCTGCTGGAGCACCAGCGCATCCACACCGGCGAGAAGCCCTACCGCTGCCCGCAGTGCGCTAAGAGCTTCAGCCGCAGCTCCCACCTCATCCGCCACCAGCGCATCCACACCGGCGAGCGCCCCTACAAGTGCACCCAGTGCGGGAAAAGCTTCAGCCAGAGCTCGGCGCTCATCCTACACCATGGGACCCACGCGGCCAACCCGCTATGAGCAGCCTGCCGGGGGAGGGTTTGGCGCACTGCTCGTGCCTTATTAGAGACCCACGCTGGGAGTAAGGACACGCCAGGCACGTGGGCAAACGGTTCCCGTGGGAATGCAGCGCTTATTACGCCTCAGACACAGGTGAGCTCAGGGCTTATTACACCTGGGAAAATCCACAGGGGACACGTGGACAAATGGCTTCTGTGGGAGATCAATGCTTATTAGATCTTGGAGGATCCACGTGGGATGGTGACCGCAGAGATAGGGGAGCTCAGCGCTTGTGACACCTCGGAGAGTCCACGTGGGATGGTGACCGTGGACACGGGGGAGCTCGGCGCTTGTGACACCTTGGAGAGTCCACGTGGGATGGTGACCATGGACATGGGGGAGCTCGGCGCTTGTGACACCTCGGAGAGTCCACGTGGGATGGTGACCGTGGACACGGGGGAGCTCAGCGCTTGTGACACCTCGGAGAGTCCATGTGGGATGGTGACCGTGGATATGGGGGAGCTCAGCGCTTGTAACACCTCGGAGAGTCCCTGGGGGGCAGGGGAGGGGAAAGAGACATTCTGTCCACCTGGGGGAAAGATTCCTTTTGAATTCACAACGTATTCCACGTGTCCCAGCAAAGAGAAACCCGGAGCAGGGAGTTTAATCATAGTGGACACATCTGCTGTGGATCTGTGTTGTGCTCATTGGTACCTTAGCTGCCTACAGAGTGGAAACCACGGGAGAAAAGTGTATGTGGGGGGAGGAGGGGGTGTGTGGTTACACCTGGCAGAGACTCTGCTCGGGGAGAAATCACTAAACTAGAGGAAAAATAAACCCAAGAAATTCGACTTCTTCACCCGTCGCTCGCCAGTGCGTCCAGGTCTGACGCCCACCATTCCAGAAGGATGTTGGTGAATTGGAGAGGGCTCAGAGAAGAGCCAGGAGAATGATCCAAGGATACGATTTAGTCACGGAGGTCACAGATTCCGTGATATTTTAATGGACGTCTGTGACTTCAGCCCCACCCTGCGGTAGTGGTGGGGGCTGGAGCTGCCTGCCGCCCCACAGCCAAGGTGGTCAGCGGCTGGGGTGGTTAGCGGCTGTAGCCAGAGCAGTCAGCGGATGGGCCTGGAGCTGTCCCCCCCTCCGTCCCCCCACAGCGGTCGTGGCTGTCCCACCTCGCCACGAACTGGGGACAGGGCCGTCCCTTCCTTCCCCCCCTCAGCAGCCGGGGCCGGAGCTGTCCCTCCCCCATTCTCCCAATGGCTGTAGCTGGTCCTGGAGGGAGCTGTCTCCCACCCCCCAACACACACACGGTGGGACTCAGGCTGCCAATCCCTCCCCCCCAGCAGTCAACCCCTCCCCCCCACAGTTATCTTTAGTAAAAGTCTCAGACAGGTTTCAGGCTTCCATGAATTTGTGTTTCTTGCCCGCGACCTGTCTGGGACTTTTACTAAAAATAACTGTGACAAAATCTTAATCTCCACAATGATTAAAGGATCCTAAAACCTGCCTCATAGCGAGAGACCCCAGGAGCTCAGTCTGTTGAGCTTAACACGGAGAAGGTTGAGGGACGACTTGGTCACAGTCTATAGGGAACAAATATTTGATAATAGGCTCTAAGGTCCAGCCCAATCCAACGGCTGGAAGTTGGAGCCAGACCAATTCAGACTAGAAATAACATTTTAACTGTGAGGGTGATGAACGATGGGAGCAAGGATGATGGTGGATTCTCCATTACTGGCCTTTTTTAGATGGATGGTTCCCCTCTCCCCAGCCCCCCAAAAGATCCACGCTAGTTCAAACAGGGATTCCTTGGGGGCAGTTCTCTGCCCTGTGCTACGCAGGAAGTCAGACTAGATGATCCCCATGGTCCCTTCGGGCCTTGGGATCTGCGACCCTAGGAAAGTCCATCCCTGCACCACTGGCTCCGAGACGGTGCTGATGGCAGCGGGCAAAATTCCACCTGCCTGCTGAGAGGCAGCAGCCTAATGCCGTCGCCCTGCCCGAGTCTGACTCTGAAGGCTTAAGCCGGATTTACATGGAGGATAGGCCTTTTTTTAAAATTAATTAATTAGTTTATTAAGGTAGTGCCCACTGGCCAGCTGAGAATGGGGCCCCGGTGTGCGACACAGACACTGAGCAGCAGAAGAGCTGCCCCGGACAGCTGATCATCTGAACAGACAGGACAGGCACCGGGGGGTGGGTGTGGGGGATACTGCACCAGCAGAGTGAAGAATGGGAAGGCTGGTGCATCGCACTTCAAGAATCCCCTATGGAAATTGTACATATTATGGGCAAAGCAAATGCGGGCTCTGATACACTGTCCAGGCAAAAAAGCTCTGAATGGACGCTTATTAACAGCCAGTGGCTGCCCTTACTGTAAGAAGAGAGGTGTGACCCAGAGAAGAGAGGTGTGACCCAGAGATTCCTTGAGGCAAACAGCCAGAGGACATAAGGGGGCGCTTGGGATTTCCAGGGATCCCCTGGGTCTATCGTCTACCTAATAGTGTGCCAAAGGGTGGCGCGTGAGGTCTCTGCCAAGAGCCAGTGATGCACTGGTCATCTTAAGCCTGTGAGATGGATGATATTTAAGGAGTTCTGTCTCTATACTGAGGTTCTTATGGTGCGTTAGTTAAGAGTGGCCACCAGAAAGTGATAAACAGGTTTTGTTCAGGCAGGGGGTAGGAGGCACTTGGCTCCCTGGCTGACCACTGGGTGTCTCATGATGGGCGTCTGTTTGCACTGCTAATCAAAGTTTGCAAATTCTACAAGAAAGACGCCTACAAGGGGTATGTGTGTGGGGAGGAATAAAAACAACCAGCAAAGCATGTGTGTGTGGGGGGGTGTTCCATGATTTTTTGAGAGGGAGGTTGGAGGGGATCAGCTAAAGGGAAGGGAAGGAGGGGGAGGTGTGGAGTGAAGATGAGGTGAAGAGATTGTGAGAAGGGCGGGGGAGCCTGGAGCAAACAGCTGATCAGCACAGGGCAGAGACAAAGCTGTAGATTGTTCTCTGAAGAACCAGAAATCCTGGCTTTGGCTGCTTTCGCCCCCTCCTGGCTGGCTCCTCTCTGAGGTTTCCCCCCAAGGCGGGAGCGGAGGCCTAGTTCCCCTAGAACAGGGGTAGTCCATTCGTTTTCGTCAAAGTCCAAATTTCTTGGTCAAGGTCCAGACTCCAGAGAAGAAAATAATAATAATAAAAAATCAATAATGATAACGGTGAAGTAAATTAAGAGATTTCAGAGTCCGTTCAGAAGGATCTGGTGGTCTGGATTTGGCCCATGATCTGCCTATTGGCAATCCCTGCCCTAGAATGTGTGTGTGTGTGTGTGGTGTATGTGTGTGGGGGGGTTTCCCCTGCACAGGTCTGGGTCCAGCGAGGTGCTGAGGCTCGTACTGGTTTCTCCACCCAGAGGTGGATTTTGCTCACTGCTACCAGCACAGTCTATCTCAGTGATCCAATTCTAGCCTTCCTTTTTGGCTGGAGGAGCGCTGGGGTCTGCAGGAGTTGTGGAAGATTTGTGGAAGAAGAAAGGTCGGAGCCTCTTTCTCCCACTGGCCCTGAGTGTGACGGGCTGGAGAGGAAATCCATGGACTAGAGATCAGGGAGACAATAATGCACCAAAGGTACTGACCAAAGCCAGCTATGTGATGGATGGAAGAGTGGAACCCATGGCAGACCAGCCTGAATGTTCTGATCCTGGGAAATGATGCACTGGGCACGTGCATTGCTGAAAACATGCTGGAGAAATTGTTGGGCTCTGAAAGAGACACCTGTTTGTGCAGGTAAGCGCAATGGGGCTCTCTCTGACCCCAATATCTAAGGGGGGGGGGACTGACCAAAACACTTGCTGATGGCAGACAGAATCCTTGAGGGAAAGCCATAGCCAGCCGGCAAGAAACTGCTCTATGAAGGGGGTAAAAATCCAGCTCCTCATCCAAAGCCCGCTGCAGTCAATCACCAGTCACCCGTTTGAAGTCAACAGATTCTGGATCAGGCTCTAGTTCTGCAGCTCAGATGGATGGAAAATCGAGGGGAGGTTTCATTACTCCTTTCTGTGAAACGGAGGATCTGAATGTGTCTCTCTGGGGAGGTCTGAGCAGCATGGATGCTCCTGGAGGACGTACAGAGCCCCTGGGCTCTCATCCCGTCTCTGGAGTGCACTCTGGGCAAAGTGGAGTGAAGTGAAGTGAGAGAGCTGAAGACCCTGCTACAGCCGATGAATTTTTGGGATGTAATTCTCTGCATTGAAGTCTGGGAGTTGCTTCTCATTCTGTCCCCCCCTCCCCCCGTGTGTACCTGAGTGCGTTGCTCAGTGAGGGGGATTCTGAGGCAGCTGGGATCCAGAATTTATAGAGGGGAATGTAAAAATCCCTAGCTAATATTTCTTTGATTCTTTTTTTTTTTTTTGGGGGGGGGGGGAAGGTTGAAGATCATTCCTGGTCTCAGCCAATGATTATTAAATGGTGATTTTTACAATTCAACAGCAGGTAGATTGTGTGAAGTGAAAACTTCTTTTGTGCTTTAAGCTCAAACTGAGTTTATCCAAGAGTGGTTCTCTGTTCCTCAATATCCTTTCTCCTATAGCTCCTGGCTTATTTCCCAGATACTAAAAGGCATTTGACTGGGTAAAGTGGACTATGGTACAGAGCTCCTATGACGAAATAGCTTCAGAATAAATCTCATGACCTGGTTAAATTCCCCAAATAAACTCCGCAAATGTCAGAATCTCAAGGGGAGCAAAAGTTTCAACTAATATAATATATACCTATCTCATAGAACTGGGAGGGACCCTGAAAGGTCATAGAGACTAGCCCCCTGCCTTAACTAGCAGGACCAAGTACTGATTTTGCACCAGATCTCTCAGTGGATCCCTCAGTGGCCCCCTCAAGGATTGAACTTACAACCGTGGGTTTAGCAGGCTAATGCTCAAACCACTGAGCTATCCCTCCCCCCTAACTAGAGCTAGGTGAAGTTTTTTGGATAAGACTTTTGTTTTGTTTTGTTTTGTTTTGTTTTTTGTTTTTTTTTGCTGA